CTTACCATCATTGCACAATGTCTCCAATTCGTTATTATTATCATATTATTTTTGTTATTATTATTATTGTTATTATTATCGTTCAACATGTTTCAGGTGAATTGCATGGATTCCATTAATGGATGTAGGCCGTTAAAGGGGCGTGGGAAACATTTCAAAGCATCAGGCTTTTTATTATTTGGGAAACTTTATTAACTGAAGAAGCATTATGCTTCAACAGATTTGCAAATTGAACTGTCGAGATGCGAACATGAAAATATTTGAAACATTTTATGAACATTTTCCACTGAATTGTAAAGAACTTGAATGAAAAAGTTTGTAGCTGATCATGCAGTTGAAATAAAAACGTCCTTCTCTGTAATGAAGGTACATCAAGTAAACAAAACTTTCACTCCTCTCCTCTCCACATCCAGTAGTTCTTTGAAGCGGAGAACATCCATTCCAGTCGTATATCTCCTCATTAATAACTCGGCAGTTTGTTTATTTTATTCCATCATGGGCAGATGTGGAACATTTGTTCAAAAATTACTTGAAGCAATTTATGGTTATGTTGTTAAAACGACTTACTTGACTCAATTTAAGCTATTAATTAATGTGATGATTTGTTGGTAAAAAAATATCCATTGGTAGGAGTATTTGGATGGTGTCATTCAGATTGATGAAATGATTGTGAATCTTTTCAGAAATGTTTATAAATGTCTGCCAACAAACTAAATTAATGGATTTGTTTTTGAATATCACCAAAATTTAAACCAAAACAACGAAGCAGCGAACATTATTGAAACATAGGAAGCAACTAACTTATGATGTATTATAATTCCGCAAGACGAGCAAACTTCTCAAACGAAGACACTCTCTCATCTGAATGCATCACAAGAATGTCTGACAGTAAGGTGCAATGCGAAATAACATCGTAGAGCTAGAGGCAGGGCATACGTAGCAGAAACAAGAATGTACATGATTAAATTTTAACCATTAATTTAAAAATTTACAAACGTGTAAAAAATAAAAACAACAACATAGGATAGTTTGACGCAATATAAGCAGATGGATGTGCATACTTACAGCAAACATCCAACACGTACGTATCAAATACAATATCTGTCTAAAAAAATCAACTGTATATGAATAAAAAGATATTTATGAATGAATAGGTGCACATAGAGGTAATTATAAACCAACCAACCAACCAGCCATCCAACTAACCAACCAATCAACCAATCAACCAACCAACCAATCAACCAACCAACCAACCTTCCGACCAACCAGCTATTCAACAAACAACCATCCACCCAACCAACCAGTAACATACATAAAGTTTTCTCGAATTCTAATAAACAATATAAGACACAACAGATGAACAACATATGAACAACACATACAACAAATAACACGTACAATAGACAAACATCCAACAAACGAAAACCACACCACACAGCCAACAACAAACAGACAAA